TAGTGCCTATTTTAGGATTTGGGGATATTGCCAGTCTCCTATTGAGATAGCCAATGGGCGAGATAACCTGCTTTCTCTTGACATACAATGCATGTTTGCACTAGAAGAATTTCTCAGGTCCTCCCTGTAATTCTTAAGTTCTGTGATCATATCAAACAAGGGAATGCTCTTTGCTTAATGCATAAGAATAAAAGTCTCATATACAATTGATTCAATTTCTGAAAATAAGCAATTGCATTTATTTCACAGTACTTTTTGCCATGCTTATTAAATCTCTTATACTTGCCATTGTTGAACAAAATACCTAATTTTTTTTTCTACGAAGAGTGTCCACATAGTTTATTTTACAAACAGTCATTTTGGAAAGTAAGGGTGATTACATTAATCCCATAGGGACTAGAGTATAGAACTGGATTGTATTGTGAAAAAATCAGGATTTGTGGACACCTTCCTTATAAACTGTTCATGTGCTTTTCAGCCTCCAGCCGCACAGAGTGCCTTTCTTTTCACCAATGCCTTTGCTGCCACTCTGTTTTCACAAGTAACTGGTGAATAACTCAGGACACTGAAAAGTTTGTCCTCGAGATAGACACCTATGGAAACAATCCCAGTGCTTTGTAGGCTTGAATTCCAGGCTCATTTATATTTCCATTCAGATTGTCAATTTAGAAACAAAACTTTTATTTTCTCCTTCAAGCTGGTGATCGTCTCACCCACCTCCCTACCCCCATCTCGTAGATGATATCATTAACCACCAAAACATTTAAAAAACCCAGAAAATGGTGGCTCAAGAGATAGTACAACGAGTAGGGCATTTCTCTTGTATGCACCCAACCTGGGTTCAATCCTGGCACCCTATATCTTCCCTCAAACCCCACCTGGCAGAATCCATTTGTCAGCCAGCAGTAAGCCCTAAGCTCAGCAGGTTGTGGCTTCCACCCCACACTCCCATTACAAAAGAAAAAAAAAAAAACTAAGCCAGAACAACTGTTTTAATGAATGTTTTCTTCTCACTCACTGAACCTTTTAATTTTTCTAAAGTACATTGGCCAAGTTGAAATAAAGGAAGACAGTTTTTGTTTTGGGGCCCCACCTGACTGCTCCGATCTTATTCCTGGCTCTGTGCTTGGAGATCACTCCAGACAGTGACTTGTGGGACTGTATGTGGTGCCAGGAACCAACCTCAGGTCTGCCACCTGCAAGCCAAGTGCCTGACCCACTGGATTCTTTTCCAGCACAAGGAGAACCTAACAAGAGGAAAGCTGTTTCTAAGAGTTTGGATGCTATTATTGTCATTAGAGGTGCAAGTAAAGTTAATGATCTTTTTGTTTTGTTTTGGTTTGGTTTGGGGCTACATCTAGCAATGGTGAGGGGACATGGGATGCCAGGGATAAAACCCAGGTCAGCCACTTGCAAAGTACTAACTCTCAGAGAACTAACTCAGGCCTGCCCACCCTCGCTCCCTTTGTATTTGGTCTGTACCCAGCAAAGCTCAGGGCTTACTCCCTGAGATTTAGGCTCTGCACTCAAGAATGACTCCTGGCAGTGCTTGGAGAACCACACACCTTACTATCTCTCAGTAAGCATTTGTTTTGGTTTGGGGGCCAAACTCTGGTGCTCAGTGTTTACCCTGGCTCTGAGCTCAGTGATCACTCCTTGTTGGGGTTCAGGGAACCATACGGAGTGCTGGGATTGAACCCAGGATGGCCGTATGCAAGGCAAGGGCCTTAACCGCTGCACTACCTCACAATAATTTGTTACTGAGAGAGTGCTTTATACTTTGTTGTCCCTGAGTGTGCATTTGACTCCTTTTATGAAGAGGGCACTGGGCTAATTTTTGAAATAAAAATGTAAGCTTCAGTCCATGTCTTTAGGAGCACACATTGTAGTTTGTAGGATAAAACATTACAAACCCAGTTTGTTCAAACAATGTCTATCTGACTCTCCACTAGGTTAGCAGATTCTGTTGTTCATTATTATTGCATTTTTCCAAGATCTAAAATCACAGAATAAAACCCAGTAAATGAGTGCTCAGTATGTATTGACAGACAGGCCAATGTTATTCTGCCTAAAAGAGTTGCCAATGATTTAGTAGTATGAGGTTAATTTGGATAAATTTATTCTAAACATAATTTTAGGTAATTTAGACCTTGATCTGTCTATGAAAGAATCTTCTACTGGAAATGATTTCACATGGAACCAGGGTTCAGACTGCTCTCTCATGAAAACAGAGTAAAATACCTTTGAGAGAGAATTTGCTGAGAAAACAATTGCCATTCTAGGAACCTGATAATGTACATATATTTTAACATGAGCATCTTGGCAGCAGCATTTGATTTTGGCTGGGGTAAAATTAAGAATAACTACTCTGAGAAAAGAAACTTCTGTGAGAATCAAAGCTTAGTGAAGTAGGGTTAGACTTAAGTTTCTATTAGGGACAAAAGCACTGAAAATTCAACAAAACTGAAAAACAATTTTATTGTCATTTTCAATGAGCATTTATACCATCATATACCAGTTTTTCCCATACCCTCACATAGCCCTAAAGCTTCTATGAATGTTGGTGATTCCACGGAGTCCGCTCTCCAGGAACTGAAACTTGGAACTTTTTTTTTTCCCTTTGGTTTTTTTGGGTCACACCTGGTGATGCTCAGGGGTTACTCCTGGCTCTGCACTTAGGAACTACTGGCCGTGCTCAGGGAACGAAATGGGATGCTGGGGATTGAACCTGGGTCAGCCATGTACAAGGCAAATGCCTTACTAACTGTACTATCGCTCTGGCCCAGAAACTTGGAACTTTCTGCCCATGCATCGACCCTAGGGATGGTCCTCACAAATATGTCCCTGACCTCGGCATAACCAGTGCAGGGCCACGTTGGCTCCCAAGAGAGAGCTGGGAACTTTTCTGATTGCACCTTGATTCAACTCCCCCCTTTTCTAATCCCTCCAATATCTTAAAAGCATCCCCATTTGAACAACCTGTACCCCAGCCTAGATTTGTTTGGTTTTGGTTTTGGTGCCCACAGACTATTCCCAGCCATGTGCTTGTGAGTCGCTCCTGGCAGGGCTGGGGCAGTGAGCCTCCTGCATGCAAAGGCTGCATTCAGTCATCCTACTTTCTGGAGCCACTGTGACACTTTAAACCCATTTTCACTTAGACAATCTCTGCCACTGGACTTTTAGCCTTCTACTTGAGGTACAAAAAAAAAAAAAAATTACCGTAAACATTTTCTGATCTGGGGCTGGAGCGATAGCACAGCAGGTAGCAGCAGGTAGGCTGTTTGCCTTGCACGCAGCCGACCCGGGTTCGATTCCCAGCATCCCATGTGGTCCCCTGAGCACCGCCAGGAGTAATTCCTGAGTGCTTGAGCCAGGAATAACCCCTGTGCATCGCCGGGTGTGACCCAAAAAGCAAAAAAAAAAAAAAACCCTTTTCTGATCTTAGTTAATTATTAATCAAATCCCTGCTGACTGCATTTAGCAAAACACCCAGGAATCTCAAGGATTCCCCACTCTGACTCCAAACCACTTCAATACCTATCCCCAAGTTACAATGTTAAGCTAAACCGAAATACATTCATTTCTTCCACACATCTGTAGGATTTGGGCTTTCATTATCGCTGTTGATAATGCAGGACTTTTACTTGTTTCAGAAAACTTCCTTCTGAATTACAATATCAGTAATGCAGTAACAAACTAGATTCTGGATTTGGTAAGGGATAATTCATTTCTGAAGTATAGTATTAGAATTGTGTTGAACTGATAAATCACAGAATGCTTGCAACTTTTTATTCAACTTTATCAAAACCTCTACTTGAACATATGTAGGAAATAATGTATTTTTATATCCAGAACATTTATTTAAAGATTCCAGAAATGAAAATCTGTCTAGTTCCAAATACCATACTGCAATGTTAATGATCTTGTGGCCTAAATGTGTGCTGTTGTTGAAGTTTTTACATTTTCTAAAATAAAAGGTGTATATAACTTCAGAGAAGTCTACCAAAGATAATCATTAAACAGTGTAGCAGTCACTTAACCCAAAGATCATCATCACCTTTATATTCTAGATGAAATGTGTATTTTCTTATTCAAGAAAGACAACATGAGATACTGAAGTGGCAACAATGAAAGAGTCCAGACATTCCTGGCCCCTAAGAAAGAGTTCTAGGGAACAGGGATACTGAATAAGCAATAAGCTAAAATTGAAAACTTCTTAAATTTCATCCCATTTATAAGGATGCAGGGAAACCTACAAAGAAGAATTACACAGCAGGGATGTAACTCAGAAGGCAAAGCAGAAGTCTTGCAAAGCCTTGGGTTCGATCCCTGCCATTGCACAGCCTCCACGCACTGCTAGGGGTGGCCCCTCAGGGCCAGGAGCTATGTGCCCACAGAGGAACCGAACCAGCCTTATGTAAGGTCACTCGAATGGGATCTGCATCTTCCCCAACTCACTTCTGTGCAAAACATTTGGGTAAAGGTAAAGCAGGAGAGGAAATGATTAAAAGATAACATGTTCACAGCACGTGGAAATCCAAGATGTTGGATGTTTGAAAGAAGTAATCAAGGGGCTGGCGAGATAGTAGAGTGGTAAGGTGCCTGCCTTGCACATGGCCAACCCCAGTTTGATCCTCAGTATCACATATGGTCCCCTGAGAAACACCAGGAGTAATTCCTGAGCACCCCCTGAGTGTGGCCCCAACAAAACAAACAAACATAAATAAAATCTGCTGGGGGGAGATCAAAAAAGGGCTGAAGCATGTGGGAGCCCCAGGTTCAATTCCTAGTATGCATGGCCCTGTGCATTGCTGGGAACAGCACCATCCCCACCCACCCCCAACACCCCACCAAAAGAAGGGATGTAAGTAATCATGATTTTACTTTTATTTATAAAGATGCATCTAAAATTAAGCCAGAAAAACATGACTCAGAAAACTCACATCCTGATCTGAAAGAACCAAAAATTATTTTAGACATAAGTGACCAGAAGACGTCAGAGATTTGCAAGTATTCTAACAGCCCAGAAAATGTATGTTCAACCTACTGTTCGAAAGTCAGAAAGTGAGGAAACTGACCTCACCATCTCTCTCACAGTGTGTTTTAAGCTGCTCGCATAAAGCCTCAACCCAAACAAGTTCGAGGCTTTGCAGATGCCCTCGTACCAGTCACTGCATCTTTCATGAAATCTGTGCTGGCAGGGAGCAGGATGGCACACAGAAATGAGACGAACAGAAATCTTGCACCTGCTTTATTAGCTGATTTTCTGAGTGAATGAAGTACAGCCAAAAGGTCACAGCACTCAGATACAGTGCTGCTTTGTTTTCAAACTCCTCATGTGCTTTGTCTCTTGAGAACCTGCGGTGATGCTACTTTTCTATTCAGTTCGGGTCCAAGACTTCAACGTCCCTCAACAACTGTCTTCCAAATTATAGCCGACTACAAGTATTCCCTCTGAGTTCTCTTCTGGGCTTTGTAAATATGGACATCTTTTTCAGGATCATAGTGAACCTTACTCACAGTAAACGGCCTCTCCAGCATCGCTAAGAAGCTGTTATCACGCTCATAGCGGATTCGGCAAGCTAAGAGAATCACAGAGTGCTGGCTACAGAGATGTTCCAATGTTTGAAGAAGATCAGCGAATGTTTCTTCTAAATATATGATATCAGCTCCCAGTATCAGGTCAAATTCTCCTGGTGGGAAACTCCCCAAATTCTGTCCCCAAGTCAGCTCCTTAACAATGGCTCGGGCTTGAATAGGAAGAGGTAAGTTGGCTTGAACATTTGATTTGAGGAACTCTAAGGCTACTTTTCGGTCCGTGATTGTCACATGAGCACCTAGAAGGTGAGACAAGAGATCAAGTAATGTCCACATCAGTACAATGGGCAAGAAGTCAAGTTAAAGGCAGGGTAAGCACCTCTTGACAGTCAACAGGTCATACACAAGAGCCCCGCTTCATGGAGGGCTGCAAGAGAGCAAAACAGTGATCAAGTACATTTGTGGGTACTTTCTCCTGGTAAAAGTGAGCTTCAACTTGTCTGGATGACAAACCTACTTTTTGCTAAGGAGGTGCTCACAGAATGGGTCACTGATCCCCAAGTGACCATGAGTGGATAATTCTGAATTCTTTCAGCTGACCCCCATACCCATGACCCTTCCCCCATGATCCCCAGCTGTCTACCACTAAAGTGTCAATCTTTATTTATTTTTTTATTTTATTGAATCACACAGTTACAAGCTTTCATGTTTGAGTTATAATCATACAATGATCAAACACCCACCAGTGCATATTCCCCACCACCAATCTCCCCAGTGTACCCCCCCTTTTCCACCCTCCCCCTGCCTTCAGGGCAGACAATTTCCCCTCTACTCTCTCTCTACTTTTGGGCATTATGTTCTGCAATACAGATACTGAGAGGTTATCAGGTTTGGTCCTTTATCTACTTTCAGCACACACCTCCCATCCCGACCGATCCCTCCAACTATCATTTTCTTAGTGATCCCTTCTCTATTCCATCTGCCTTCTCCCCCAGCTCATGAGGCAGGCTTCCAACTATGGAGCAATCTTCCTGGGCCTTGTGTCTACTGTCCTTGGGTGTCAGTCTCATGTTATTTTATACTCCACAAATGAGTGCAATCATTCTATGTTTGTCCCTCTTTTTCTGACTCATTTCACTTAGCATGATACTCTCCATGTCTATCCACTTACAAGCAAATTTCATGTAAAGTCTCGACCTTCAAGTCAGTAGGCCTCAGGGTAACATGAAGTCCAAAGGAGAAAAAATTTGAAAGCAAAAAGTTTATCAGTCATCCTTGATCCCTTCCTTTACTACCTGGCATGACACAACACTCCGGACCACCCTCTTCCTGCCAGCCACCCAGAGGTAGGCCTGAGAACAGCAGCCCTTCCCACCCCTCGGCCCCCATCCCTTGGTTGGTGTCACTGCTGTGATGACTGGGGCCGCACACCCCCACGGCCGTGTGCACTGAAGGGAAGTGCTCACACGCCCCTGCTACAGTGCTCCATAAATGCCAGAGGGAGGTGCTCACACACATCTGCTACAGTGCTCCCCAGTCATACTGGAGTGTGGTACTCACACCGCCCCCACTACAATGCTCCAGGGTCACACACCAGAGAGAGGTGCTCACAGTCCTGGGAGCTCACTCTGGTGTGGCCCCCAGAACCCCAAACCGACAAACGAAAAACAACAAACCCGTAGATCAATTCAAAACTGTCTAGTGTTTAGGTCCAGGTCAATGGCCTGGAACGCACATTCTGTACGCGATGGGCCTGGGCTCAATCTCTAGTACCACATGGTCTGCCTGGCACTACTCAGAGCAACCGCCAAGCACCATGGGAGGAGTAGCTCCAGAGTACCTGAGTATGAAACTCCTACTCAAAAACAAAATTGAAACTGTATACGACCTTACTATGTCAGTAACAGTGGGACAGCTGTCCCTAGATGGAAAAGCTCTGCAAAGTTTCTTAGCACTGCAAGAGAAAATAGCTATGGTGCCTGTCTTTCAGGGTTGAATCCAATAATGCATGGGAAAGCACATAAGCTGACAGCAACTACGGATATGAATGAGAGAATTTTCTTCAAATTCAAAATTGCCTTAAGATGACAGTTCCAAAGAGAAGGGATCACTAAGTCAATGATGGTTGGAGGGATTGCTCGGGATGGGAGATGTGTGCTAAAAGTAGAGAAAGGACCAAACGTGATAGCCTCTCAGTATCTATATTGCAAACCATAATTCCCAAAAGTAGAGAGAGAGTATGAGGGAAATTGCCATAGAGGCAGAAGGAGGGTTGGGGTTGGGGGTGGGGGGTGGAGGGAAATACTGGGGACATTGGTGGTAGAAAATGTGCACTGGTGGAGGGATGTGTGTTTGATCATTGTATGACTGAAATTCGAACATGAAAGCTTTGTAACTTTGTAACTTAAGGTGATTCAATTAAAAAAGAAAAGATGACAGTACCCTTACAGAGGGCCAGTAGGCACATGAAAAATGCTCATCACTTCCAATCAAAAAATTGCCAACCAAAACCACAATGGGAAAGCATCTCACACCTGTGCAAATGACAGAGCAAGCAGCAAGAGCTAGTGAGAGGGAGAAGAAAAGGAATCTCGGTGGCATCAAGATGAAAAAACAGTAAGCTGTGCACCATTCCTCAAAAAACTCAACGCAGAAGTAACATGAGATCTAGCAATTCCACTTCTGGATATTGATCCAAAACACAAGAAGTCATTAACTCCAAGGGTTAAATGCACCCCATTTAAACTGCAGGACTATTTACAATAACTAAGACAGGGACAAAACCCTAGGCTCTTTGAGAGATTTAAAAAAGGGATGACACAGAGGCTGGAGCAATACCACAGTGGGTAGGGCATTTGCCTTGCACGCAGCCGACTCAAGTTTGATTCCCAGCATCCCATCTGGTCCCCTGAGCACCGCCAGGGGTAATTCCTGAGTGTAGAGCCAGGAGTAACCCATGTGCATCACCGGGTGTGACGCAAAAAGAAAAAAAAATGGGGGGGGGGGGGTGATATATATGCAATGCCATGCTATTCAAGTATAAAAAAGACAAAATGTTGCCACGGTAGTAAGGGAGGGAAAGGAAAGAGAGACGAGGTCCTGGTGCAAGAGAATGAGGAGACGGGAGAGAGAGAATGAACCAATCCAACCGAGGTAAAAGCACCAGTAGGTGGTCCATAATGAAAAGTGCAGGGGAAAGAAAAATAACACAAACAATGGGTCTTGCCTCCTGAAACAGCAAACAGAGGGGACACGGACATGGCTTGTCAGTAGAGCACTTGCCGTGCATGCTGAGGCCCTGGGTTGGACTGCTGGCACCACACGGCTGAGTACTGAGCTGCAGCGCTACCAAGTATGCCACCCTCCTCCCTGCCCGCACAGAAAACCGAGGCCAAGGCGCCTCAGCCAGGAATGCATCCACATGTGGCACTCACCCAGCAGTGCAGCCACTATGCCCACCAGGCCGGTGCCAGCACCCAGTTCCACGGCAGAGCGGCCCTGCAGCTCCACGGCGCCCGTCTCCAGGTAGGTGGCAAGGACGACGGCCTGTGGCAGAACACAAACAGGGCACGGTGATCAAGGGCCACAGAGCAATGCACACTGAAGAGACTCCCCAAAGACAGAGCAGAGCAGGGTGCCAGTCCCCATGGAAGGGCCTCCCCAGCTTCGACGGCAAGCGGACATTCACCCGGCCCCACCAAGTTCCTAAAGGGGATGGCAGTGTCTCAGTGACACTGCCCACACGGGAGAGCAGTGACACTGCCCATACGACTTCACAACCAGAAGGAGAAAGACTCTCACCCGCCTGCCAGTCACATTCAGCTCTGCTCCCCATTGCACGCCCCCCTCAAAGGTTAAGTCTTGACTTGAGGCTTGCGTTAGTATGTACATACACTCTACTAACACAGAGCAAGTGGGAATACAACATTTCAATGGCCACTATCAATAAAACTGCCACGTCCGAGAGCTAGAGAGAGATAGCTAAGAGGGCTGCGTATATGGGAGGCCTAGGTTGATGCCCTGAACCACACGGTCTCCAAAGCACCACTGAAAACAGGAGCAGCCCCACACGAAAGCAATTCCATCTTCCAAAATGATCTCCAGTGAGCATTTAGAAAGTTCACCTGTTCCACAGTTACTCTTAATTCTGTTTCTCAAACACTACATGTAGCTACTTCAGGCTACACCCCTAACAGTAATGTTGCCAGGTTAAAATATATATGAGGGGCTGGAGCAATAGCACAGGGGGTAGGGCGTTTTCCTTACAGGCGGCTGACCAGGGTTCAATTCCCAGCATCCTATATGGTCCCCTGAACACCGCCAAGAGTAATTCCTGAGTACAGAGCCAGGAGTATTGCCAGGTGTGACCCAAAAAAAGAAAAAGAAAAAAAATATATATATATATGAGCCTCTTTATTCCTGTTTTCCTAACATCCTTATTAAGATCGCAGAGCTGGATCTCTGCCTTTCCCCCAGCAGGAAGTGAGCTCCCACTGAGTGGTGCTTAGAGGCCACTGCCACAAGCAGATGAAGGGCAATGGGACTGGAAGAAGTGGAAAAGCCAGCAGAGGGCCTGTCCCTAGCCCACCTGGGATGATCCCCCACATATGATCCCCTTGCCCTGCCCCCAGTGATCCCTGAGCCAGGAGCACCAGTAGGTGCGACAAAAACTCACAGGTACACCCGTCTTAACAATCTTCCATGGGGACTTCCCCACTTCACAACAAACCTTCGATGATGTTTTTAGCTTAAAAGTTCACGGAAATGAAAATCCAAAGTGGGGGCAGAGCTTCTGCTGTCCTCCCTCTACCCCAGCATGATCTGCAGGTTTTCCACCCTCTTTCTTCTCTCACCCTTCAATTCCTCGGGAGCTGGGGGGCAGGGGTAGGGTGGAGGCAGCTGAACAGTGAAGTGGGTAGAAATTTTTTAGAGGGGGTTAGCGAAGATGTTCTAAGTAATCGCAGTGGTTGCATTACCGTGAATTTACCTCCACTCTTCCCGGTCCCCCCCATCCACCCCCCCCCACCCCATCTCAAATAGTTTTAAAAGGTGAAATGGGCGGTGGCACATAAGTTGTTTCACCCACGCGATGGCATGCGTGTACATCATTCAGATCATCTCCCGGGACCCACGTTTTCCAGGCCTCCCCCACGCCGGACTTACCGCGTCCCAGACCACCGCGGCGACCCCCAGCTGCCTCCAGTCCTGCCGGATGTGGATCGCGCGGTTGGCAAAGGAGAAGGTGGCCAGCGGCTTGTGGAATTTCTGCAGCCCCGTCCCCGCGTTCTCCTCATAGGGCACCAGGGCCATGTCGGGTCGGCGCCCGGCCCTCGGCCTGTCGCGCAGACCTGTCGGTTCGGGAGAATCAGGTGCGGTACTCGGAGATGTAGGCTGCAGCCCCGCACCCAAGTAGCTCCCTGACGGGGGAGCAGACGCCTCTGTCCCACTCCCTCCTTCCTAGCCTGTGGCGCGCTTCCTGGGAAGGGAGGTGCGGCTTCGAATTCAAATCAAAGGGCGCGGGGAGGGGAGAAAAGCGGGAGGCGAAAGGTTGGGAGGGGGGGTTCGAGGCCCTGAGGGGTGCGCTCGGCAGTTAGCAGCCGGCGTTCGGAGGCTCGAGAGGGCGGCGACTTCTACTCTCCGGCCCGCAGCGCACCCACCTTCCGCGCCGGGGCTTGGGCCGTTCCCTGCACCCCAGCTAATTCGTGGACCCCTACCTGCCCGTGCACCCAGAGGCGAAGGGCCCGTGCACCCAGAAGACTGCCCTGACTTTTCCACTGCACCTAAGCGGCCGGCGAAGACCCTCCTCCATGACTGGAAAATGGGAGACATGCGGAAAGGTCCCCCAAACCCGCGCCCGCGCGCCCCTCCAAAGGGTTCCCAGGCGCAGCCCCGCGTGGCAGACGCTGCCAAGGTTGAGGGGTGGGGGGGCGATGGGGAAAGGGCCTCCCGATGTGCAACCTCCCCCACTACCAGGCCACTCTGAGGCAGGGGCCCCCAGACTCTACCGAGAGAAATCGTCCGGGTTCATTCGGAGGCCCGACCCGTCTGCGCCGTCCCCGCCCCACTCCGCTCTCCACGCTCGGGTCTCCGGGTCCCGCGCACCACGCTCCGCGCCACCGGCCCCGCCCCGCTCCGCTGGCCCCGCCCCTAGCGCTGCGCCCCGCCCCGCTTTGCTTTTCCGGCCCAGCTCGCCCCGCCTCTACGCTGGTCCCGCCCTATTTCACTGGTCCCACCCCGCCCCTCTGCACTGACTCCACTCTGCTCGCCCCGCCCCGCACTGTCAGTCCTGCCCCATTCGCCCCGCCCCTCTCGGCGAGACCCACTCCGCTCGCCCCGCCCCGCCCCGCCCCGCTGTCCCCGCCCCTCGCTCTACATCCTGCCCCGCTTCGCTTTCCCGGCCTCTCTCGCCTCGACCCGCCCCGCCCCGCCGCTCTCCACTGGCCCCGCTCCGCTTGCCCCGCCCCTCTCCACTGGCCCCGCCCCACTCTTTTTGCCCCGCCCCAAGGGCGGTGCCGGAAACCACCGCCCTGAAAGGTCGCGTGCTTCCGGTAGTCTCGACCTTCTTCCGGGCCGGTGTTCCTGCCACGCGGGGAGTGGCCGTGAGCTGAAGGAGAACGTTCAGGAACTCTGTTTGGGGCGGACGTCCCCGACTTCGGGCACGTTCCTGGGCTTTAGAGCCGGCAGCTCTGTTGCTCCTGGAGCCGCGGGTGCGAGGTTGCGCAGAGGGCAGGAAGGGGAATCTGGCGCTCGGCGAGAGGGGGCGCCACCGACCCGGCGCCGGCCGCTGCTGTGCTTTTCTGTGTGCGTTTGTGTTTTGTGTTGTCAGAGGTGCCCTTGCGGGTCGAAATGATCGTACTGCTAGTGCCGCGGGTTAGAGCGCTTCGCTGGCCCCGGGCCCCGCCGGGAGTCATCCCAGGAGCGTAGAGCCAGGGCTAAGTCCTGAGCCCAGCAGGGTGTGGCCCCCCCCAGAAAAAGCAAGCTGCCCAGCGTGGTAGGTGTGGGGAAAAGGTCATTCCGATCAAAGTATCTCCGGCCGGCCTTCCCCACGCCCCCCAAAGTGGTCTGAGCCGGGCTGATTTGGCCTCTTGGTGGCCACAGAGTTAGCACGTGCTCCCCGGGCCGTGAGCTGGGCGGCGTCTCGGGATCGGTTACTGGGTCGCTGCAGACCCGCACGCAGTCTCCTTCCCGGGAGGATTCCGCTTTGGGACTGCTGGGTGTGGGCGCGGACCACCACGTGGCGCCCCAAGCCACGTGCCCACGGGAAGCACTGCGGTGGGCGCGAGCACAAGTGCGCGCATACTCGCAGCTCCTGGTTCCCGGACCCTCGTCCCGCCTCCAGGGCTGCCTGGGCGGGAGTCGGGGGTGGGGGAAAGGGTGTGCTGCGCTTTCCTACTCCCCGGAGGGCAACTTCGCCACCGGAAAGCAGGTCTCTAGGCGGCGGCTCCCGAACGTCCCAGAACTTCCCGACCGTTATTGCTAGGCGGAAACCACCCCCTTTCCTGCCTCTTCCATCCTGCAGGGTGCGCGCAGGCCCCGCCAGACCTCCTGGACAGCCCAGAAGGGGACCAGCCCACCGCAATAGCCACTTGAAGCAAAACTCTGAGGTCACCAGTGAAAGGACTTTTTATAATTTTTTTCTCAGTATTTAAATGTGTATGTGATACAATTCTTTCTCTCTTTTTTTTTTGGGTTTGTTTTGGGGGCCACGCCCGGTGGCTCAGGGAACCATTTGGGAATACTGGGGATGGAACCTGGGTAGACCTCATGCAAGGCAAAATGCCTACCCATTGTACGTACTATCTCTCCAGCCCCACAAGTACTTTTTTAAAAAAGCATTTCCTAGTGCGCAGCAGAATTTGAAGACGATAAGTGGTTCCTGCTCCCATACTCGGAGCCCACCAGATGCAGCCTTTGTCCCCACTGATGAACCTAGGTTGACTCATCATCATCAGACTATAGCTTGTTTTTCGTTGGTGATTGGTGTGGTAGATGTTAGGAATGTGGGCTAATGCATAATGACCATTGTGTATCATCCCCTAAATTCTCTTGCTATACCTCTTCATGCTTCTCTCTAATCCCGGACAGTCCTTGGGGTAGATAGCAAGGAATGTGATTATGAGTCCCTGTTAGTTTCATTAAATTTTCTTTAAAAAAAATCTTTTTTTGTATGTTTTTGGGCCACACCCATCGATGCTGAGATTGCTTCTGGCTCTGCACTCAGGACTTACTCCTGGCAGTGCTCAGGGACTATATGGGATGCCAGATTGAACTGGGTTGGCTGCATGCAAGGCAAGCTCTCCGCCTGCTATACTTATCTCTCTGGCCCTAACAGTTTTTTTTAGTGAAGCTCAACTTATTAATTTCTCTCATAGATGGTCGAGACTTTTGTGTTACAACTAAAAGAAAAAAGTCACCCCAAATCCTGGTTGCCTTCTGTTACCTTTTAGGAATTTAATTGATGTCTGATGCACTGAATGAGTTTTTGTGAGGTGAAAGGTCTTATGTCAGGATTCTGGTTTTTTTGCATGTGGCTGGCCAGCTATTCCAGCACTGGGAAGACTTCCCCTTGGCACTGCTTTGCTACTTTCTCAGATATTTGTCTGCAGACCTTAGCACCACCATCTCTGTTAATGTTGCTTGAGGTGAAGCCTTGAAGCCCTCCGTCTTTGCTTTTTTTTTTTTCTTTTAGTATTTCTTTACCTTTCCTTCTCTCCCTCTCCTTTTGATCTCTCCTTATATTTTCTTTCTTTTGCTGCTCTCATTCTGCTCCTGCCTCTCAACTTGTTTACCATTTCTTATTTTATTTTTTATTTTTGTTCCTTTTCTTATTTTAAAGCCTCTCTTCCTTCACCTTATTTTCACCTTCCCTTCTCTATTCTCATTCCTTTGGATAACCAAAGGGCATCCTTGGGTACAAGAAGAGATACAAGTCCCAGTACAAAACATTGGAACTCCAAGGAACCACAAGGGGTGCGAAACCCCCCCCCCCCCAGACCCATTAATTGGGATGGCCCTATGTAATTCCTAAAACTCCCTAGATCCCAGGTCTTCCTCCACCTACTTCCATTGAGATTCTGGCTCTGCACCATTCCTCTCCCTGCAGAACCTGCGATGTTGCTGCTGAGATGACACATACAACCATGCAATAGAAAACAGAACCATCCCATCCTCATTGGCATTCTAGTAACCTAGGACTCACTGTATCATTATTGCACTCTCAGTTGTAGATGTCACTTTTCCCCCAAGGGAACAGACCAGAAAGTTGAAGCTGACCAGTGTTTTCATGGGTGCCAATGTGCTCAGAAGGGGGCTTTGGGAGACTCTCAAGCAGCAGAGCACAGGCCTGGCATGTCATGCCCTACCCCACCAGCAAGGCCAGGCATAGCCCTGGTGAACCTCCTCTGTACCCCTGAGAGTGATCCCTAAAAAAAGTGATTTTAACGATTTGACTCAGCACTGAAAGGAGACTTTAGAAATGTGCAGCCTGTCTAGCAGGGCAGGTATTCAAGCAGGGACCTCTTTTTATAGAGAGAAACCAAAACCAGAACAAACAAACAACACCCAGATCCCAAAATAAAACCAAACAGGACCCCATGGAAATACATGAAAATAAATTTTTCATCCTCAAAAATTTGTAAAAAAACAAGTCTTCTGTAGGTCTTGGTATATGTAAGACAGACACCTTGGGCCAGACAGCACAACAGGTAGGGCATTTGCCTTGCACTGGATGACCTGGGTTCAAGCCCCTGGCATCCCATACGGCCCTCCAAAACCATCAGAAGTAATCCCAGAGTGCAGAGCACTGCCAGATATAACCCCTCACAAAAACAAACAAAACTAAAAGAAAAATACCTAGGATCCCTCTACCTAGGCCTGTTCTGTGGGTTCCTTCCCCAAGAAGTGGTGGGTCAGAGGTCAGCTTGGTGAGGTGCCTGGCATTGGCCAGTGGAATGTGGGGGAAATCACATTTGCCCCCTTGGAGGGAGGGCTCGAGGTTTTCCCAGCATGAAATGACCCCCTCACTTGACCCCATCATGGGAGAAACCATGAGCCAGGAGTAAATTTTGGTTGAGATAACAGTTGTCATTATAGCAGGGGACAGCAGAAGCTGATGGTAGGTACCCGAGCGGGAAGGAGGTCATTTCTAGTGAGGACAGCTGAGCATGATCTCTCTAGAATAGATGCTCTTCCGGTTTGCCTGGACATCCTCACTCCCCTGTTTCCCTCCCCTGGGTCCCACACGACCTCCTGTTCCACCTCTTGGGAAAGGTCAGAAAGCTCGACTCACTGCCTGCCTTACCTTTAATTTCAAGTGCAGTTTCAGGCTGGAGAGATAGTACAGAACATAGGGCACTTGCCTTGTCTGCCCAAGACCCTAGTTCCATCCTCAGCACCCCATATGATGCCCTGAGCCCCACCTGCAGTGATCCCTGAGCAGTGCCAGGAATAAGCCCTGAGTACAGTCAGGTGTGGCCCAGAAAACCAAACCGAACCCCAAAAGCCAACGAGAAGCTTTCTGATACTGCAACAATTGGTCTGCAACCTGCCTTCTGCTAGCCAGGCCTCAGCTCATTTCCAGGGCTGCTCCTGGGCTCGGGGTCTGAGAGGGGAACGAGCCTGGGCTTCCAGGTGCAGTGGGTTCCCTGCACACTTCCAGCCCCCTGCAAACCCACTCGGCCCCCCAAAATGTGGAGAGGTGATGTGGTGGCAGGAATATATGTAAGTAAGTATATCCAGAGGTATTTCCTTGATCCTGTTTCTTTTGTCCCCATGGCTAAAATAGTCCTTCCCCCACAACTCCTCACCAGAGAGCAAAGTTGTTGGTAAGGGGGTCGATTCTCCCATCCCTCCTGTTTTCTGGAAGGAGTTTCTGATCCAAGCCAGGTGGCAGCAGTTTCTGAGCCTGGGGCCAAGGTGGGTATGAAGCCCAGAAATTGCAATCTCTGCAGAGCAAGGATCTAGACGAGGATTGTGCTTTTCAGTTTATCTGTACTGACCCAGTGTCCCCTGCCGACTTTTTCCAACCTCACTTCCCTGATGCCCATGGTCAGAAGAGCTGCTTCTGGGGTCCAAAATTCTAGCTGAAATC